GAGGGAGGGAGGGAGGGAGGGAAGGAGGGAGGGAGGGAAGGAAGGAGGGAAACAAACATGTGACAGAGGCAAATCGTTTGGTTGCCTCCTGCACGTGCCCCGACCAGGACCAGGGATCAAACCTGCAATCCAGGTATGTGCCCTTAACTGGAAATTGAAGCTGCAACCCTTCTGTGGGTGGACTGATGTGCTAACCACCGAGAAAACCGGACAGGGCTTTTTAAGCCCTTTTGAGTGAGGAAGCTGCTTTAACTTTTATAATGGAGGGAAGGGACAACAGAGGAGAAAAAGACAGTGGAACTTTCTGTGCCAACTAAACTCCACAAGACCAGGTTCCTCACAACTCCTGTGGGAAATGAAACTTAGATCTTTACCATGTAGGTGACTTTTAAATATTGAACATTTTACTCAAGATTTTGAAAGAAACAAGTCTGTCTTATCTATAGTATTTAAATGTGACTTTTTTTTTTTAAAAGAAAAAAGAAAATTTAGAAAGATGTGTGTTTCCTTGCAAGCAAAACAGAGAAAAGGGTATTATTGTTGGTACTATGAGTATTAAGCCACAGACACGTAAAATCCACAAAATGGATTGGTGGCTTGGGAAATGCAATATCATGTCAAAGGTGCAGACTGTTTCAAATCAAAGCAAACTTCAACCCCTCCAGCAATGAACTGCCCCTGAGATCCTGGTAAAGACAGCATGGCCTGCTCTGAGGCAGGGAGACCGCTGCTGGCGCTACTTGGATCATCCTACCAAGTCCACAGGGGAGGCTGTAGGGTTCGGACTGCACCCAGTGTGAAGCACGTGCATCATTGGACCAATTTCTGAATAGGTTTTTATAAATATATACAAATCAGTTACAGGCACTTGAAATGTCTTTGGCTGGAATAACCCAACATTGCAAAAGAATGGTATTCACAGAGTGTCCAGGCCCAGGCTGGCGTCAGCAGGCAATGCTTACGGTTTGCTCAGTCTCTCAGAAAACAGGCAGTTGTGGAATTAGGCATCAGCCAAAGCAACCTAGAAGAGAGCAAGACAAGCAACCCAGTCACACAACAGAGCCCAGGGAGCCAGGTCCCCACCCAAGACCAGGGAGCCACACCGTATGCATCTGTCCAGGAGGGGAACTATTAAAGCCCTAAAGCAGTGGTTCTCAACCTTCTGGCCCTTTAAATACAGTTCCTCATGTTGTGACCCAACCATAAAATTATTTTCGTTGCTACTTCATAACTGTAATGTTGCTACTGTTATGAATCGTAATGTAAATATCTGATATGCAGGATGGTCTTAGGCGACCCCTGTGAAAGGGTCGTTTGACCGCCAAAGGGGTCATGACCCACAGGTTGAGAACCGCTGCCCTAAGGGGGGGAAAAAAATAATCATCTAGGTGGGAATGAATAGAAATTTAAGTTTCCTGCCAGAAGCAGCTGATCTAGTGGAACCACTGTGCTGAGCCCAAGAGGTAACTATTTCCAAACCTTGATGAGCACTCTGTGAGATGATTTCCCAAGCTGATGAAGTGGAGGGGGCAGCCCTCCAGGGGCAGCTGCTCTCCAGTGGGGATTTGAGAGCAATTTGCATAGTCAGTACTTATTACAGCTAACGTTTGGGTTGAAAACCCAATACCATAATTTAGACTGAAGGTAGACTATTTCTGAGAAAAAGACAGGAACTAATTTCTCTGGAGGAAAACTCACAATCAGTGCAATAAGGACTGAGACATTCTGTCCACAGACACCTCTAGCCAAATGCTGGGACAGACCCCATCCGATGCTCACCTTCTCCGGACAAAATTCAGGACTGCTCTGACGCAACTTGCTAGGTCTGCCCTTGATAACCGCATAGCAAAACATTGTTATCACCATGACGAAGAGGAAGTAACTGGTGTGCATGAGATGCAAATTTATTAATGAACGGTCATCCTAGAGGGAATAAACCAGAAACATCAGCACTGAGTTACTGAAAGTTTTATGCTGGGTTTCTGGAGATACGGTTCATCACCTCCAGATATGCTTTAACTTTAATTCTTAAACTGGAACAGAAATTTCTCCTTCTAAACTATTAGAGCTGGCTCTCATTCAGTGAAGACATGATGTTCTTGAGAACACCTCCCCTCCCTTCCTAAAGCAGTCCTCTGCCCTGGCTTCTGCACGCCACACTGCCTGAGCACCCTCTCCTTCCCCCCACGTGGTCTCCTCATGAGAAGGCTCCCGCACCTGTAATCCCCACTCTTGCTATGTCCTCTTCCTCTGACTACCCTCAGGGTGCATGGCTGACACCCCAAGCCTGTGTTCCTAACCCCTCATAACTACCCGACCAGGAAGGCCTCTGCATCACCTCTCCCCAGAGGCAGCTTCCCTCCTTCCTTCCGCCTTTTCCCCACTTTTACAAGTCCTGCCTGAAAACATCTTTTGACCTCCCACATGCAATCAATCACCCTGCCAGCTGTTGCGAGATCCTGGCCATGCTTCCATTCCTTTTCCTTCCCAAATCTCTAGGCCCCACGACGTTCACACTAATCAGGTGGGCAGACCAGTCTTGCTAACACACTGCTTTACAAATCCCCCTACAGCCCAACACAGGTGGGGATTGCCTCCTCTGAGGGAAAAGTCTAAATGCCTCACGAGAGGCACAAAGGACTTTCTGGAACCTGACCTCCACTGCTCACTCCTGCAGGCTCCTGGCCTACCAACTTCTACAACTTGGTAACAGGGCCAGGCAAAAAGGCAAGAAATCCATCAAACATATACTGACAGGAAGAGGACATTTATAAAAAAATCAGTATAGTCTGTAAAAGTGGGCTCAAGTGTAAGCCGGAAGCTAAACTAGCATGTTACCCACTAGTCTAGATTACAGTGTTTTCCTCCCCTTTTCTCCTCCTTAAGTAACATCCTATTCAGCCCTCACTATCTATCCAAAGATGTACTTTTACCCTTATGAATTCCGAACCACTCCCTGCTCATACTAACACTAACCAAATATTCTCCTGAGTGGCTGTGTGCATAAGACTACAAGCATTTCTTGTAACCCCCATGGGTTAGGCCAGGGGTGGGCAAACTTTTTGACTCGAGGGCCACAATGGGTTCTTAAACTGGACCGGAGGGCCGGAACAAAAGCATGATGGAGTGTTTGTGTGAACTAATATAAATTCAAAGTAAACATCATTACATAAAAGGGTACGGTCTTTTTTTTTTTTTAGTGTTATTCATTTCAAGCGGGCCGGATCTGGCCCACCGGCCGTAGTTTGCCCACGGCTGGGTTAGGCACACAACAGCTGCTCAATAAGTAACTGCTGCTGAGCAAAGCAGAAAACAAAGAACAGAAACAGTTTTCTTAACCAAAAAGGTGGCATGTTTTTCCAAGTGTCCACCACTCCACCTAGCCTTTTATTAACTTAGCTGGGAATCTGAAATGGCAGGGGCTAAGCTAACCCAAGCATGTAAACACCACCTACTTTAACAGTTCCTGGACGCACATGCATACACACATGATTTTTCTCACTTACATCTGGAACAATAACTGTTAGCTTGGGATTTAAAGTGTGATAGACTTTTCCAATGGCCCCCTTATAACACCAGAAAGGATTGTAATCTTGAGCATATTTTGTGTTGGCATCTCTAGCAGTCATGAAGATCTTGTACCAGAGCGTGGCATTGCTGTATGTGTCCGGAACACAGTGCGGTGGCTGTCTGCAGGGGAAGACGGGGAAAGACGTGCTCAGTGGCCTGAGACATTTACTGTGTCTTCCCCACAGCCCCGAGCCCAACACTGACCACAGCCAAACATGTGGAAGGAAGAAACAGAAGACATAAATGTTTCTTTTAGGTAAATACCATGTTTTTAGTTCAGGGACTTTTTATTATTTACTTAATAAGCATATAAGAAATAGGCATTTGGCATTTGAGAGTTTAGGTGTTAGATTTTTGCCTTCAGATTTCAACTCATAGTCCTCTCGCATATGATGTGGCCAAAGAAGAACCTGCTCCTTTTAAGCCCATTTTCCCACACTGTCTCAATTCTCAATTACAACAGGAAGTTTGACATACAAACTTCTCCATCAGATTTACAACCAACAGCAAATAATGTTTAACTTATCTGATCTTGTCCTCCAAACCTCCAAATGTCTAAAATAGACAAATACCTGACTAATTATTCTTATTGAAAAAGGATTCACCATACGATTTTTTAAATAGGCTACATCTTGCATATTTCATGTATTTATAGATCATTATCTCCTTTGCAGAAAAAGGGAGGCAAAAAAATGTAAAGGCAAAACAGTAATACTGACAGTTTTTCAGTTGCTCAAAATATAGGAAGCAAAAACTCCAGAAATAGTAACTGTTTCATAGAAAATAAGATTTAAATTTATGCTCTCAATTTTAAAAATAACTCTTTCTGGATAATGGACATGAACAAAACCTTTATCTTCTGGGAGCCTTAACTCTGGATCATTCTAGTCATGGGATCCATTCTTCCTTATCTTTTCTGTGACGTGCTTCTACCAACAGGAGAGGCAGCCTAAGAACACGTACAACGACCAACCTTGCTGAGGAACTAACTCTCTGCTATTTACACGAGAACTTCTACCTCAGAATTCCAAACTAAACTTAAAGAACTCCTTAGGTCCAGGTAAAGGGATGCAGTGTGAGCCCCCCTAGAACTTGCTGCCAAAGCACCCCAGTCACATGGTCAGTGGAGCTTCTCATACACCTGTGGGCTCAGAAAACCACTTACACTGTGACGGGGAACACACCAGGGTTGGCTGTGAGCGTCATGCAGGCTGTGAACACCACCTGCTCACAGTGACTGTGAAGGGCACAGTCATCCGAGCTCCAAGCTGCTGGCAGGGTAAAGGTAATGTTTATCTCTTCGTGGGCTTCCCTGCCTATGAAAGAGAAATCAGGGTGGATTTATTTTTCTTTTGATAAAGAAAGGCAAGAATCCATATTTATTATTCTCTGGGATTTGAATGAATCCTGACATCAAATCCACCCAGGAATCACCTTTCAACCCACCAAAGCAGGACTCCTGCCTCTGTGCGATTTCAGGAACAACACCAGTTCTGAGTTGGACTCTGAGGCCTGCTCACCTGGCAGAGATACCAAAAGGCAAGCAGAGAGGGGCCACTTTCAGCCAGACGTGGGGGTGCTAAGCAAGAGCCCAGGCAGTGCCCCAGCTGGAAAGCTGGGGGCTGGGTGGGTTATTATCACCGTGTTAGCATTTGCATAGCACCTTTCCATTTCCAAACTGCTTTTATATTTATTACTTCACTTAAAATGTACCACTACCCCATGACATGAGCAAAGAAGTGTTACTGCTCCACTTTTACATATGAGCAAACTGAGGATCGGAGGATCTAACAGACTTAAGTAAGGTCATGAACCAGTAAGTGATGAAGCTTAAATGAAAACCAAGGTATTCAACACCACAGCAGAAGAGAAAGGGCTACTTGTAACATAGAAAACCCAGAAGTTGCCCTTACCTTATTTCCATAGGAGCAGCTCTCACCTATAACAACCAATAGGAGGCTGGCAGGCACTCCCAAGTCTTTCGGGACTTTAAAAGGCTCTTGATAACCCAAGATTATTCTTCCAAGACCCGGGCCTCCAGCATGCAGCCTTTCCTGATTAGTCCCTCTTCCACTACTCTCTCACCTTGTCCTGAATCACTTATAGTTGATTATGGGTTTGGTTCTGGTGAAAGGGTAGTGCTCAATGTTTTATAGGTGTTTCTTTTTATTATTATTTAACAAGCACTTACAGTCAAACCTCAGTTCTCCAACGTCTCCCATCTCAAACAATTCGGTTCTTGACCAAGTTGTTCACGGAAAAATGTCTCAGTTGTCAAACCAAACTTTGATTTTTAACCTGACAACCCTTTCATACTGTCACCTCAGCATGACAGAAAGTGTCTCTCAGGCAACAAAGAAAGGAGAGAATGCTTTTGTTGCTGGAGAAATTTATGGTTAGCACAATTTTAAAACATAAAGAGGCCATCAAGAGTGTTAATGTTGCTAAGGGTGTGAAAGAAACAATGATCACAGGCACTTGAAGAGGTAGAAGAATTGTTGTTGATTTGGGTAAATGAATTAGCCAGTGACAGCATTTCGGAGGCAGCCATATATAAAAAAGCGAAGATGCCACATGCTTCTTGAAAGATATCCCTAGAACATGTGCTAAAAGTGATCTGTCTAAGGCTAGTAAGGGGTGGCTCGATATATTTAAGAAAAGAAGTGTTTGTTTATTGATTAAACAGTACATTAGACATGTACTGTATAAAAGAAAGGTTAAAACAGGGAATCAATCTGTGGGTTGGGAACAGATTAATTCCATTTACATTATTTCTAATGGGAAAAATGATTCCGTTTTCGAACAAATAGCTTCTCCGACAGTCTTCCAGAATGATTTAAGTTCAAGAACCAAGGTTCCACTGTATATATAGCATTTGCTTTGTGCCAAGAACTACTGTAAGCACTTGATAAATATTAACTCGTGTTAATCCTTGTCTCTTTGGCATAATTCCAAAATGCCAAAGGGAAGAGACCAGACCTTAGGCTTATGCTAGTTCATTCCATAAGATGAGCTAATGGTGGATGTTCAAGTTTGTAAACTAACAGCAATATTTATAGCATGTATTGCCATCTCCAACACGATAGCATTGTGTTTGTAAACCAGAAATAGACCTTATAGTTTCTTCCCAGTTTCTCATTTTCATAGGCTTTTTATTGAGAGCCTACTGTATGCCAAGCACTTTATTAAGGGTAGACACATGCAAAAATCAAAAACAGTCTGAGTAAAACCATCTACTGCTAATACTCTGTCCTCTGACAGTTGTTGCTTGAGAAAGTCTGAAAGGAAACTGATGAACACACACATACCTGAAAGTCCAATCTGATGCCCTAAGATGGTCGAGTACAGATGGGTGACATTGCGAGAGTACCCTCCAAAGGGTTTGAGCGGGTCCAGGGTGAGGGTGATTGCAACTGAGATGTTAACCGGGCCTGAATCCTCCAGTGCCTGTGGGGACTGGGTGGACACTCTGGCCTGCCCACTGGTCATTGTGCTTTCCGGAGTCGTGGTGTCATTTGTGAGATGCTTTAATGTTTCATTCTCTGATACACACAAGTCCAAATCATTAAACCGCAACAGAAAAGTATTCCAATCCTTCCGAAAATGAAACAGAGAGAAAAAAGTGTGAGCAGTCTGAAAGTGCTGCCATGACCCTCGAGGTCGCATCACACGGTGGGGACACCAGGTTCAGAGTCAATCTTTTACAATAACAGAGATAATAAAGCCATCAGCCTCCTGCACTGCCACAACAGTGTGGTTTTCCAAACCACTCTCATATTCATAACCGAAAATATGAATTCTTCATTGGCATGAGATATTAAATAAGCTGTGGGATTAATTAACTTATTCAAGAAAATATGTAAGAAAACAAAACAGTATATTATACTTACAGAAAATTATTTAGCCTCAGAAATAAACATGAAAAGAAAGCTTGAACAAAAGTAGTAAAACATTAAAAGCATTAATCTAAACTCATTTAGCAGTTGCAATTAGTTTTTGTGTGTGTGTGTTTTGGTGTTTTTTCAAATAAAGCTTCCTCAAAAAGTCAATTTTAGCCCGAGCTGGTTTGGCTCAGTGAACAGAGCCTTGGCCCACAGACGGAAGGGTCTCGGGTTTGATTCCGGTCAAGGGCATTTACCTCAGTTGCAGGCCTGAGGCAACCAATCTATGTTTCTCTCTGTCTTTCCCCTCCATTCTCTCTAAAAATCAATGGAAAAATAAAAATTATTTTTTTTAAAAAAAAAGGTCAATTCTATACACCTTGCCTTCTCTCTCGAGAATGTGAAACCAAGTAAATACCAATACATGGGATTTTTCCCCCCTTGTCACGGACTTGGGATGCTACCTTAGAACAGAAACAATTTCCAAAGGGAGAAAAAAAGAAAAAGATGTTTTCAGGCTTCTCTTAATATCTACACCCTGTATTAATGGTTTAAATCATAAGCAGTTTTAAAAACACAGACAGCTTATTATGTCACTAGAGGCCCGGTGCACAAAAATTTGTGCACTCGGGGGGTAAGGGGGGGTCCCTCAGCCCGGCCTGTGCCCTCTCGCAGTCTGGGACCCCTCGGGAGATAATGACCTGC